ATCAATATCATTCATTCTGTACAATAAATGCAAAGTTACAACTAGCTTATTGTAAACGATGCAACAAACCTTTTGCCTGGTTCTCTATGAAGGTCTAAAAATAATTATGGGATTTTTTTGTTGTCAGGCGCAGACACTTTGTGGTAAATGGTCCTCACAGAGCTGAGACTCCAGGAAGTCACAGCTCCTGGCAAAGAAACTGTCCCATTTAAACCATAAAATAACCTCTGACAACATGAAGTGTTTTTCTGTTGTTATATGGCTATTAAAAAATAGATGTAATGAGGTAAACTTTTTAATTGTTTCCAGGAGCCAGGTTAGTTACTAAGCTGTCTGGGCTGAAGCTTCATAATGATCTGACACACTTGTGAGTGGAAATGCATCAAAGAGGATCAAAAGGTTTGATACACAATCAATAAATCACCACATGAACTAACTGCAGGCTACTTACTGAAAAATCTACGGTGCAGGTGCGAGGGTAACCAGGAATGCCGGGACTAAAGCGCCATATGGTTTCCAGGTGATTGAACAGCTTTCCATCTGACACACTGCCTGAAAAAAACAACCAAGAGAAAAACTGTGTGATTAGAAATGTGAATTTTGAGCAGTGTGTGCTAGTTGACACCACATCCACTACTCGTTTAACAAAATAAAATGTGTTGGGTGTCTCATTTGGCTCAGTTCATGTTGTTTAAATCACAGCACTACATATAAAAGCCATTTGAAAACATAAAAAGAAATTCAAACACATCGTCTCATTCACAGAACAGACACTCAGTGAAGCTTCTGCCACTTACTTTGACCAGGTGAGGCCGAACACAAGTGATCATGATGTGTATCTCTCCACCACTGGAGGGAATCCTACTTCCAGCTGGGCCTTGGAGTGGCCTGCTCTTTTCATGATGGTTCTGGGACTTCTTACACCAGGAACAAAGAGCTTGTACTCATCAACATTGGCCACCACATCTACATTTCCTGCATTGAAAAGCTAGGACCAAAAGCACTGAAAGGTTAGGAAACAACGAATAAAAACACTTCAGAGGGTACATTTGTTATCAGCTCATACTGGATAATTACCCAAGGATCCTACGCTCGGAGTACTCCTTCCTTTTGTTGGTGAGGCTGATGAAGTTTCTGCTTTGAGGAACAGCTGTCATTGTGCCCAGTCTTGAAGGCAAAGCACTCGGGGAGTTCTTGTCATCAAAATGCCACATGATGACAAGTGTCTAAAATTGAGAGAAAATGTCACGTAAGCCAGGTTCTAGAAAGTAATTCTCAAAGTGCCACAGGCACAATCCTAAACAAAAAAAGGGCCCACTACGTTCCAGTTTTCAGCTAATACACTCAATGAGTACACAGAGAACAGTGGACCAGCAGGTAATAGAAGGTTTCTGTGTTGTGAGTGCTGGATTTTCTGAGCAGGGGCCTGTTTTGCAAAAGGAAAAAAGCTACACAATGACATCCACTCTAGCTTGTTGAACCTTTGAGCAATGTGTTTTCTGGTAGCCAGGCTGTAGAGTCTTGACAAATGCATTTTAACAAGCAGCTAAAAACGGAAACCGAACAAATATTGTTACTCATTGGAGACAAGCATGGCAGAATTTTCCATTAAATAACTTTACAGTATCACAGGGTATTGTGTTGAAAACAATTATATATTTAGAGTAATGTTATAAAATAATAAAAAAGATTATTTTGGGCTTTTGCATTTATTCCATAGGATAGATGTAGACAGACAGGAAATATAAAGGAATAAAGGAATGTAGCCTGTACATGATGAGAGAGAGAGAGAGAGAGAGAGAGAAAAAAATAGGTAGAGAAGTGAAATCAGGGCTCCAAAAAAAATACTTAATCAATTAATACAGGTAATGTTTATTATTTGGCGAGGTAGTTATGCAGCTTCAGAATTGTGGCTTTAAAACGGAATAAGTTGTTTTGTCAAGAAATCCATCCAACCGTTTGTTAAACAGAACAATGTCTTCCATGTTCATTTGTTGATTCAGTGTTATGCACTATGATACACAGGATTTAACTGCTCAAGTGATGGCGCTGGCAGCATGAAAAAGTTGCATGTTTCTCTAGTCAATGATATTAAATGTTTTTGATTGTGGACTGCTCTGACAGTATGATAAATGTGACAGTGTGTCAAACTTCATAAAATAAAATTAAAAGTACCACTACCAACAATATATCAGCTGAAATGTTACAATTCACTTAGCAGATACTTTTATCCAAAGCTGAAAGAAGCTTTTGAAAGAAAGGTGTCCCTAATGACCTTCTGAATATGATCACATTTTTTGTGGAAGAACACGGCTATTTTTGCCTTCATCAAAACTTGAAAAACATCTGCGGTCCATGTTATTTTTTTAAGATCCTTATCTTAATTGTTCTTTTAGTTGTGTTGTGTTTTGTTTTTGTTTCCTTCTTCTTCTTCTTCTTCTTCACCTTCTGGACTGTATTTGTCTCTTTTTCTCATGTCTGTGCTTTCTTTCTTTTTGGGTTTGTCTATATTTCTTTTTTTTGCTGCTGCCATTTTGGCCAGCCTTGTTAGAAAAAGAGGTCATTTTGATCTCAAGCAATTCTGCCTGGTAAAATAAAAGGTTAAATAAATAAAAATAAATAAAAGGATACGAGCTTATCTCTAAAATGCATTCTCAATATGACCTAATATTGGCCTTAAAGTAATGAATATTGGAAATTGACTGTAGTGGCTATTTGTCCAAAAAAAAAAAAAAAAAAAAAAAAAAATCTTAAATAAACTAATATCAAAAGTAATTAAATGACCACTGATGGGGCGCGCTGGTGGCACAATGGTTAGGGCGCGCGTCCCATGTGTCGAGACTCTCGTATCGAGCGGCCTCTTTCCGCATGTCACTCCCCGCTCTCTCTCCCTGGTTTCCGACTCTATCCACTGTCCTCCCTCTGAATTAAAAAGGCACGAAAAGCCCCCAAAAAAAATCTTAAAAAAAAAAAAAGACCACTGATGCACCATGAAGATGTGATGTACGCAGGCTAAAGAAATCCAATGTCCATGCAAGAGTTGCGGTATTTTTCTGGTTTATTTGAGGAAAACAAACTAAAGAACAAAGAAAACCGTGGCTCCCGCTGCCTCTCTTGATCTGGTAAAAAAAAAAACAATAGGCCCACCCAGGTGCATGCTGGTCCTCTACCTACCTCCTAAATAATCTCCGGTGCCCACAGTATTACCCAAATACCTAACAAAAAAACTAATACAAAACTAAATTTACTAAACAAATAACTAGCAAAAAAGAAAACGTTACCCAAAATATTTTCTAAATAAAGAAAACGTGTAGAATAATTAAATGATCAACACCACCCAAATGTTGAGTAAACTAAATACAAAAACTAATTCTGACCACAATTAAATAGCTCCAAAATTTACTTAGGTCAAAAATATTGTGGCCTATATCATCGAGGAGCAGATTTAAGATGTTGCACTGCAATTGCACTTTATAACGACTCCCCTTTGAGTAAGGACAGAAGACATTTAAACTTTTAAACTTTAGCCTGAGCTGCATATACCAAACTGTATTTTGCAACTGCTTTTATTTTATAATAATTCTTTATTTATCTATCATACTATGCACTGGCAGCGCTACTATTTTGTACTGTTATCTATGAGTAACAGCTACTTATGCACATGAACCATCCATACCACGTTTTTATATCCTGGCTATGTATTGTGGGCTCATGTTTTTTTTATTTTTTTTATTTTTATGTATGGATTGATGATGAACAGTTTGCCTCCCCCCTCCCCCTTGCTCCCTATCCCTCTTCCTGCATCTTATCCCATCTCTCCCCCTATCCCTTTCCAAACCGGGCGCAGTCTAGGCCTGTGAAGGCTGTTTCGTCATGAGCCGGGGATCCGGCCGAAGATTTCTGCCTTTTAATAAGACAGTTTTTTTTCTTACCACTGTAACTTTCGCTGCTTTGCTAAAAGTGCTCATGATGGATAGGCCGGGTCTTTGTAATATAACAGTAAGTAAGGTCTTTGACCTGCTCTTTTGTAATGTTAACAGACAAAGAGTAAGGTCTTTCACCTCCTCTTTTGTAATGTTAACAGACAAAGAGTAAGGTCTTTCACCTCCTCTTTTGTAATGTTAACAGACAAAGAGTAAGGTCTTTTACCTCCTCTTTTGTAATGTTAACAGACAAAGAGTAAGGTCTTCTACATACTTTTTGTAAAGTGTCTCGAGATAACACTTGTTATGAGTTGACACTATACAAATAAACATGGATTGATTGATTGATGTACGGGTGGGATATGTATGTATATATGTGTTTGTATGTATGCTGGCTGCTGGAGCACCTAAATTTTCCTGCTGGGATGAATAAAGTACATCTTATCTTAGCTTAGCTTATCTTATCTTACAAACAAGTCAAGACACCAGGGATTTAAAATAACAAAGCCCCAGACTCGTGAGGAGCAGAAATGTGACTCCCCTGATTAAGTCAGAGACTGTAACCTTATCTCTTCATACCTCTCGATCCAAAGGAGGCATTGTGTCCCCTTTATCTCCTTTGTCTCCTTTGTCCCCTTTGTCCCCTGTGGCTCCCGTGTCTCTGCATGTTGTTATAATAATAACCTGCAGAGTGCGTGACAGGCTCACCTGATGCTTTGTCGTGGACATCCTCTAGGAACAGCTGTACGGCAGGAGCGTGGGGAGCCCACGGTGGCAATGTGGAGGAAGTCACTGAATGTCCGCACACCCATGGGTAACCGGCGGGCACCGGCCGTGGCTGCCATCAAACCAGCCTCTTCAGTCTATACTGCGGGGGTCCTGGGTCTTGGGTCCTGGGTCTTGGGTCTTGGGTCCTGGGTCTGTGAAGCTGAGTCTGGGATACGAGGTTCGATCCACTTCACAGAGGGTTCACTAATTAACACGCAGCGTCAGCCAATTCTGACTCCCCGAGATAAACAGCATTTGCTGGCTAACTTAAACACTATCACCTGTGTGTCGCCTCCAGTCGATATCAGAGCTGTCGGGCTGTTAGCAAACATCAGCTAGCAACTGTTTCATAACGAGTCCGAGCAAAACGCGACGTACGGCCGCATTCCTCTATTTTCTACAAATAACTCACATCACTCCACCTCTCCGGCGACAAAACTGTAACAAAGTAAAATAAAAAAAACAAAAAAGGTGCTACTTTAGCTTTTCATTGTTGTGAAATACAACGAAGCTGCGGACGACCTTCTGCTGCTAAACAAAACGCCGGTGGGACAAACTGTTCCTTTCTTCTCTCCGTTGGTCTGCAGTTTAAAGCTTCAACGGCTTTATGGGGAAAGTCTGACCCCTAGTGGTTCGGAGGCTCAATTACAGACACCAGTCATAGGATAGGATAGGATAAAACTTTATTGATCCTCAGAGGGGGGAAATTCGGGCGTTACAGCAGCACAGACAAAAAAGCTCAAAAATACACATTAAACAGAATAGATAAGAAAAATACAAATACAAATACAAATAAAAACAAAAACAAAAACAAAAACAAAAACAAAAACAAACAAAAAATAAAAATAAAAATAAAAATAAAAATAAAAATAAAAACAAACAAAAAATAAAAACAGGGGGTATATACAGTACAAAATCAATGATGAAGTTAAATGGGGGGGGGGATTGAGAATTGAGGCAGTATTTGCAGAGAATGACAAGATAAAGTGACAAGTGATTAAAGTGACTTGGTATGATAAAATAGCAGCAAGTAATGTAAAACAGCAGAGAAGAGAGGCAGTGTTGTACCACAGTAATGCAGAGTGCAGTTATATAATATAATGTAGTATAATATAATATAATATAGTGCAATATGAACAATATAGTGTAATATAATGAAATGTTATATAATATAGACTAGTATAATAATATAATAAAAATATATAAAATGTACAGTATATATGTATATATATATTGATTGATATTATTACTAATAGAATAGAATAGAATTACTTTATTGATCCCAAATTGGGAAATTGTGTGTTAATTTAGTTTTCTTTCCATATTTTGAATAAAGTGTATCACTAATCACTGCTAGGTTTTTAAGTCTAAGCAGGGCTACTAACGTTTTAAATAAAGAATTTATATCTCAAAAATGTTATCTGAGTTGCCTACTGAAATGTAAGCATATATATTTACTTTCACCACTGGTACCTCTGATCTGTGGGAGGCGGATTAACATAAGTGAAAATAATTATGCTATCAACTAGCCTATATGATAATAATGATGACGTGCAAAATGCAATGTGCAAAAACAGCATATTTCATATTTTTACAAAGAAACCTTGTAGTGTTAAACACATAGCATATAATTTATTTTAAAACAAATCAGATATATAGACAAATATTTCTTGTCGTTTAGGGAAACATGTGTTTTAGAGGGAGCATGAGCTACTTGAACAGAACTACATGTCAGGTCTGGGCCTTATTATTTAAGGTCGGCCACGAATACATAATAATGTGACTTTTAAGACGACAAGAGTGTTTTATCAGGTTATTAATGATATTTCTTAGTTGAAACAGCATATATATATAAAAAAAAACTTCCCAAGTACTACTTGCTCAGAGTGGGTTCCAAAACCTGAGTCCTGAGTTAATTGTTTTCAGGAGTTTTTTCTCTGTAAAAACATTTACATTTAGATTGTGAAGCTGCTGCTGAACAAAGGGGCCAGTCTGAGTGCCATCCATAAGAAGGAGAGACAGCCTATCCATTGTGCTGCTTACTTGGGTAATCAGGTTTCACTCTCTGACTGTAATGTTAAGGTTTTCAGCTTTCTCACTTACAGCTCATGTTGGGTTACATACGGTGGCTGATAAGTGCAAAGCAAAATTACAAATGTGAGACAAATTTACATTTTGACAAACCTTTTTACATTTTTAGAAAACAAAATTACAAAACTAAAAACAATTATACCAAGAAAAAAAAAACACATTTACATCTTATAAAACAAATTTACAAGATGTGAAACACTTTTACAATCCCCAAACAAATTTACAAACGACAGAATCTTGACTAAACTGGTGAAAGTGTTTTGCCTCTTGTAAATTTGACTCAGCGATTGTAAAAGTGTTTTTTGATTGATTGATTGATCAATTAAATTTATTTCAGACATATCAAATAAAATCAAACATACAAAAAATACAAAACAAAATGAAAAGCACGAAAATACAATAAACAAAAAACAATGTTCAAATTATTTCACGATAAAAGAAAAAGCACATTACATATATTCAATTGATATATGCCTGAAAAGGAGTAGGAAGAAGTATAAAACTTATTTAATCCTACCCCTTTTCCACAACTCAATAATTAATATTTATTAGATTAAATTAACTTCCTGTGTTCCTTATAATCTCTCTATATATCTATCTATATTTAAGCTATATTTGATATTTCCAATCCAATGATTTGCCATACATATAGACAACTTGATATACTATGATTTTTTATAATTTATATATTTATACAATCCATATATATACATCTATACATACATATCTATTTGTACAGTTTGATATACTATGACTTTTTATAATTTATATATTTATACAATCTATATATCTATATATACATATCTATTTGTACAATTTGATGTACTATAGTTACACTTTATATATTTATACAATCCTTATATCAATACAGTTTGGTACAGTATGTTTACAATTATACATCTGATACAATATATATATATATATACATATATATATATTCATATACAATTTGATATAGGCTACTAGTTTCACATCTTGTAAATTTGTTCTGTCCTTTCCCTCCATTCCCCCTCAAACCCCCACACAGGACTACCTCACTGGACAGTAAAATACAATATAACATACATCACAAACGTGCAATATATTTATCTGTATAGTAATTTTACTCATAGCTTTTCTTTTTATATCTATTTATATCTGCACCTTATTTTTCTATGTAAATACTTGCTGCTGTTTTTTTTTATCCTGCACTACAACGAGCCAAATGCAACGAGATTTCGTTCTTATCTGCACTGTAATGTACAATAAAGAAAGTCAAAGTAAGTGTTTTTGGTTTTGTAATTTTATTTCATAAAATTTAAAAAACACTTTGTAATTTTGCTTTGCACCTCCCAGCCACCGTAGTTACATTATATTCCTCTTAAACAGCCTATGATCAGTATGTTTACATTGCACTATATTTAAGTTTCTCTATAATACTTTCCTCCACTAGATGGCGCCATTTCACCCGAAAAGGCGCCTACAGACCGCCACGCCTGTAGGCGGACCAGCACAGTCGTAGCCTGTATCGTCAGACCAGACAGAGGATACAGACAACAACAGTGTCAGATCGAGACCGCATTTTCTGTTTGCAACCAGCGATGGGTGTAGTCTGAGAAGTGGATACAGTAGCGCACCGCAATATACCTCGGAAGTTAAATCCTCATGAAGGAGCTCCGTCCTGGCTGAGTTTGGGAGATGGGAGTACACAACATTGCAGACCAGGTACGCTTGGAAAGAAAGCGATCCGTGTTTGTGCCATGGCGCAGTCTATTTGCTGGGAGAGATCTGCTCTTGTGCGCAATATTTAAAGTCTAATTTGCGTAACGGCTTCTTTCCACTTGCAGCTTATCGACGTGCATTGCAATTGCCATGTATACAAGAATGATGCTGATGCATTTCTGCGTGTTTAGCGGTGTTTTGCATGAGCACAGTTGCACATACGTTGTTTCTGCTCCTGTATAGGCCCTCCTCTGGGTCAGGGCCAGCTCTTGTAGCACAGAATTAGCTAGCTGGAGCCATTTGGCTAGCTTACGTATGTGGTGAGACGAGGGCCTGCAGGCCTCAGAGGCTCTGGATATTTTCTGGAAGGAAAGCATAATCGCTTTCGGTTACTAATCTGCACACTTAACACGCTAAATAACACGTAAACGCAATGAAAGCATGCGAATTTCACTGAACAGCTGATTGCTTTTTTCTATTTAGAGATGCAAAGGGCACATTTGGAGGAATCACAGCGCTCCTGTCCGGTTTTTTTTCCCATAATGTATGCAAAGCTATTGTAACCATAACTCAGCTGCTGGTTCTCTGTTGCAGCCTCCTCTGGTCCAGGCCATCTTCAATCGTAATGCTGAAGAAATTCAACTATTATTGCACAAAAAGGAGGATGTCAATGCACTGGTATGTTTCATGCATGCACACTTATTTTCAATGCACAAGGGTTCATATCATGAAGGACTTGGGGCCCCTTACTTTAACTTACATATGGAAATATTTGCACTACACCTATGATTGATGCTGAGTTTATCCCACAGGACCAAGAGCGCCGTACGCCACTTCATGCTGCTGCCTGTGTGGGTGACGTCCATGTAATGGACCTCCTCATTGAATCAGGTTAGTAAGCCTCATGCATTACTGATGCTCTCTCTCTCTGTTGACCTGGGGAAATGTGGTGCAAACACTCTCCTCCTTGGAAGCACCCATACAGACTTCCTCATCCTTTGTCAGCTCAGCGTGCAGTGTAATGTTCGGCTTTCTGACGTTGTGACTTCCCTTTTTTAAAGTGCTTTGTGTTGTTTTGTTTTGCAGGTGCCACTGTAAACGCTAAAGACCACGTATGGTTGACCCCGTTGCACAGAGCGGCTGCTTCCAGAAATGAAGTACGTAATGAACTCATTTCCTTTTGCCATTTAAAACAGTCTAATAGTCTCTGCCTAGAAAACCTCATCCTTTAATTCTGTTAGGTTTCTACCCACAGTGGTAAAAGCCCCCATTTAGATTTATGCATTAAAGACATAATGCTGACGGAAGAAAATGCAGCAAACCAGATATGATATATGCTTTAAGCTTCTTTTTATTTGCTGCTGCTTTCCCCAGAGGGCCGTGGGTCTGCTGCTGAGGCGCGGCGCAGAAGCGAACGCACGAGACAAGTTCTGGCAGACGCCGCTGCATGTGGCTGCTGCCAACCGTGCCACGCGCTGCGCAGAGGCTCTGCTGACCCAGCTGAGCAACCTGAACATGGCAGACCGCACTGGCAGAACCGCCTTGCACCATGCGGCTCAGAGTGGGTTCCAAGAGGTGAGTCCTAGGTTTTTTTGGGGGGGGGTTTCTGTGAGTTTCTGGAGTTATGGTGAGTGTTTTCTTTATAAAAAAACATTCATTTTGCTTTTAGATGGTGAAGCTGCTGCTGAACAAAGGGGCCAACCTGAGTGCCATCGATAAGAAGGAGAGACAGCCTATCCATTGTGCTGCTTACTTGGGTAAGCAGGTTTCACTTTTTTTTGCCAATGCCGCTCAGCACAAATTTTCATCGTCAAACAGCAGTTTAATCTCGTATTGTTCGTGGCAAGTTTTACTCGGATGAGAAGCCAATACTTTGGCAGAGACTTTGTTTAATGGGATGGGGGTAAAAGACTCAAGAATGACTGAATGAGCAAAAGGTTTTTTGTCTCATTATCTCACATTCACAGCCTCAACTGCGGTGAAGATGTCGAAATGATTCAACCTACAAATAAAAACTTGAATAGTTCCTTTTCTTTGTGCGTCTTCTGCAGGACATTCAGATGTTGTGAAGCTGCTGGTGTCCCGCAGTGCAGACAAGAGCTGTAAGGATAAGCAAGGCTACACACCTCTTCACGCTGCTGCTGCCAGCGGTCACATCGAAATTGTAAAGTATCTGCTGCGGATGGGGGCAGAGGTGAGAGATCTTTTTTTTTTAAATATAGATTTTTAATCACGCTGTCCCATCGTCGGTTTTATTAAATGCCAGAGCGTATTACCAAGAGTGTTTTATTATCCCGCTGTGTCAGATAGCGTCTTCTCTGTCCGCTCATATTCGTATTCTTCTGTCAGATTGATGAGCCCAATGGCTTTGGAAACACTCCGCTCCACGTGGCCTGCTACATGGGGCAGGAGGCTGTGGCTACCGAGCTCGTGAACCATGGAGCTAATGTCAACCAGCCCAACAAGTGCGGCTACACCCCTCTGCACCTGGCCGCCGTCTCCACCAATGGTGCCCTCTGTCTGGAGTTGCTGGTCAACAATGGGGCAGATGTCAACCAGCAGGTACGAATGGTGGAGTGAGGAGGAGTGTTGAATAGAGGCGGGTAAAAGTGGGTTGTGGTGGTGCAGTGCATTTTGGCCGAACTCAAAGATTAAATTCATTTAGACATACTTACGTTTTTTGCTCTCGAATTCAAATAAGAGATTGAAGAAATGTGTGTGTTAAATGTGTAGCTGTGGTCCAGAGTAATATAATCAACACATGGGGTCTAATGTGGAGAAGGAATGAAGACAATACACTTTTTTTCCCTCCTCATAAATTCTGTTTATCCCAAACAAACAAACAAACACACGTGTGATCAACATGTTCTTGAAATCTTAAAAGGTGTCTGAAATAAAATATTCAAATAATGAGACTTTTTTTTTATATATTTCCTGTTTTTCTCCCTCCACAGAGCAAAGAAGGGAAGAGCCCCTTGCACATGGCAGCCATTCACGGACGCTTCACACGCTCTCAGATCCTCATCCAGAATGGTAACGACGACGACCGCGTTGTCCGTCTGATTTATCAAGAGAAGAGCGTGTCGGCTTTTCTCTCCTCGTACTCTCGTCTTTCATTCACTCCCTCCTCCCTTCTTCTTCTCTCCGTCAGGCGGGGAGATCGATTGTGTGGATAAGTATGGCAATACTCCTCTCCACGTTGCTGCTAAGTACGGCCATGAACTGCTGATCAGCACTCTGATGACCAACGGAGCAGACACGGCCAGGTATCAGAGAGCTTGAAGTGTTGTTGGTGATAGATGTAACTAAGGTTGTGAAAACACAGGGAAGCTAAGGCTTTCATGTATTTGTATGCACATAGATAATGTTTGAAGACGGTTGTGTTTAAATGAAGTTACACTTGTGACAACATGTGATTTTAATTCCCTGCTCTGTGTCTGATTGGACGTTTTTCAGACGTGGGATCCATGGAATGTTCCCCTTGCACTTAGCTGTGCTGTACGGGTTTTCAGACTGTTGTCGCAAGTTACTCTCCTCAGGTTGGTCTTTGTTTTACACACATGTGCACCCATTAACTAACGGTTTGTTCATCTATGTTTATATACGCTTGGACATAGCCGTGACTCTCTGCTGTTTGCCCCCCCCCCCTCCCTGCAGGTCAGCTGTATAGTATAGTTTCCTCAATGAGTAAAGAGCATGTACTTTCGGCTGGGTTTGACATAAACACCCCTGACAACTTTGGGAGGACCTGTCTACACGCTGCTGCCTCTGGAGGGTAAGATGCGTAATCTGCTTTGTCACTGTTCTCTTTACAATGACTCAACATGTTCTGCTGTCACGTGTCATATGCAGCGCAAACTTGATATCCTCTCTGTGGAAAATCTTCCCTTCCAGAAATGTTGAATGTCTGAACTTGCTCTTAAGTAGTGGTACCGACTTGAACAAGAGGGACATAATGGGAAGGTGAGTTTCCCCTCCGTCGTTGTTAGATGCGTTGTAATTTTGAGTGTCCGCTTGCTTGTTCTGATTCTCGTCTCGAATCCTCACTCACAGGACCCCGTTGCACTATGCGGCTGCTAATGGGAGGTACCAGTGCACTGTGACCCTGGTGAGCGCTGGCGCTGAGGTCAATGAGTCTGACCAGACAGGCTGTACTCCCCTGCACTACTCTGCAGCCTCACAAGCCTTCAGCAGGTTAGGAAACTATCTCTCTCTCTCTCTCTCTCTCTCTCTCTTGTTCAGTGTTCTCCTTGAAAACAAGTTGGGACAGACGACACCAAATTCTGTTTCAGTCTGCCAGAAATCTTACTTATCTTATCCGTCTCAGCTTTTCATGCTTTCTTTCAACCAGCGGTCACATTAAATTCACGTGTGAAGCGACTGTCTGTATGTTGAACCGACCCAGGAAAGTTTACTGAATCAAAGCGTTTCCTGTTCATTTCAGAGTTGATCGTCATTTTTCTGGGAACCATCAGAACGATGAGGATGAGGCAAAGGAGTCTTATTTGTGAGTTTGAATTCCTTTCTTTTCCCTCTCCTGTCGCTGACGATAGCTTAACGCATTGAAATGTAAGACTCGACATTGAATTCATTTGTGCCCCCTCAACTAAATGTTGCTATTTTTATGTCCCCTTCTGTTCCCATCATTTTGTCATCAGCTGCTTGGAGCATCTTTTAGACAATGGCGCTGATCCATCCATGGTCAACTCGAAGGGTTACAGCGCTGTTCACTATGCAGCTTACCATGGCAACAAACAGAACTTGGAGTTGGTGAGTTTTCAAGTTTTCGTAGTTTAACTTGAAACATGATTCATTAGCCGAATGTTGCATATGGCACACGTTGCACACACTGACGCAAACATCGCTCAAGAAAAAGTTTACCGCTAATTGAATTAATATTGATGAAAAAGTAAAAAATGTGCAGAATACTGATTTATCTTTGCCTATGAAACTTCAGAAAACATGCTGATTTAACATTTACTACGGAGATGTTGCTAATCTGCTGTGTAGGTCTACACCTTTTTGTTTTTTGCCGGTTTAGAAGTTGATTTCACTCGGCAGAAAAACAGAATATTAAGTGTTGTTGAGTTTGCAGGTCTCTGTTTGCAGTCTGTGCATGATGTAAAATATTTGAGAATAGATTCTTTTTTACTTTCTTTTTTTTTTGAATGTCTTTTCTTAGTAAAATGATTTAAATGGTACATTTTATATTTCAGCTCCTCGAGATGTCCTTTAATGCACTTGGAGACATAGAAAGCAGTATTCCAGTCAGTCCACTGCATCTCGCTGTGAGTCAAACATTTGAACACACGCTCTCTCGGTTCCTTCTCGTGCTGTTGACTGAGTTGACTGACGTTGTGACGGCCTTCCTCTGCTCCCTCAGGCTGACAAAGGCCACTGGCAGGCGCTGCGCGTGCTGACGGAGACTGCGGCCTACGTGGACATGCAGGATGCCGCAGGACGTTCTGTGCTCTACCTGGCCTCCCAGAAAGGCTTCGCCCGCTGTGTGGAGGTGCTGTTAGCTCAGGGGGCATCCTGCCTCCTCAATGACAACCGCCTCATGTGGACTCCAATTCATGTATCAGGTATACACGTCTGGACGCTGTCGGAGCATTGTTCCACTTTTATTAGAAATAATTCTTTACCTGTGTGTGAAAAGATTATGCTTATGCTCTATGTTTTCTGTTTTCTGTTTTGACACCAGCTGCCAACGGTCACTCAGACTGCCTGCGCATGATGATTGATTACGGAGAGGAGGGGGATCTCACCAACGTTGCAGACAAATTTGGCCAGTGAGTTGTTCTCTTTATGGCTTCAGTTTTACATTTCAAGCCGAAACACACAATGTAACGTCTAAAGCTAAAGAATGCAGTCTCAGAATACACCTCTGTATTGTCTCTCCGTCCCCTTTAGGACTCCTCTGATGCTAGCTGTGCAGGGAGGTCACACTGACTGTGTCCACTACCTATTGGAGAAGGATGCCTCGCCTGACGCCAAGGACAAGAGGGGCAGCACAGCTTTGCACAGAGGGGTAGGTCACACACACACACACACACACACACATGTGTCTGCATATTGTAGCAGGAACTCAAAGAAGACTACTACATTGACCATTAACTAAAAAAACAAACATTTCCACTGTTAAGTCATCGATCTTTGTTTGTGAACTACAGTTAATGAAGGCTCATGTTAAATATTGTGGCCATTGGCTTCATATCGCCTCTTTAAACTGAACATCCTGGTCATTTAGAGCTGTAAGAGTTGATTTTTTTTTAACTAGAGCTTGTGTAAATATTTCCACCCCTGTGTCACGATCAACAGGATGCAGTGATGTCATGTCTAAAAGAAGAACGCAGTGCCCTAAAGCGTACCCTGTTGAGTCATCTATTTCACTGTGAATGTGACAGTGATTTATGAAATATAGACGAGACTTCAGACTTAAAACAAGGGGTTGAAACCATGAACTCATTAGGGAAATTGTTTACAGAACTAATTAATTAATTTGGAAGAAAATAAATGATTCTTTAAAACATCCACACATTTGCCCCCTGCTGGCCTTTAGAAAGAATGCAACTCTGCATTACTTCAGTTTTCAGGCAACCAGCTCCTTCTATTTCTGAAAATATCTAGATATTTTCAGGAGTACTGCCCCTGATATTCTCCTGACCTGTCTGTTCATTGTGGGCTGCTAATGTGGGCTTTCAGTTTTCTGGACAAGTATGGATTATAAACTTTAAAAAAAAATGAATCTCTGAATAAGAAGTATCTCTTCAGGAAAGTAGGCATGTTCCTCTTGTTTGAATCTTCTGTGTTGCTGCTCTTTGTTCAGGCCGTGTTGGGCCATGACGACTGTGTGACAGCCCTGCTGGAGCACAAAGCTTCTGCACTGTGTCGGGACGTTCAGGGTAGGACCCCGCTGCACTACGCTGCATCCAGAGGCCACACGGATATCCTGGCCAGTCTGGTGCAGGCCGCCATGGCGACAGACCCGCAAGATAAACTGCTGGACAACAAACAATACACCCCATTGCATTGGGCTGCTTACAAAGGTGTGTACAGTTTGAACGACTGGAAACGGCTGATCTCCAAACCTGCTGTTACTCACTTAAACACCTGTTGTCTGTAATACT